CTAAAGAACCCAAGCCCCAAGCCCTAGAGCCAGAACTCTCAGGGCCGCCTTGCACTGTTACCGGCAAGGGCAAGGAGACCGGGGACGGGTTGCCTGTCCTTCAAGCGCGTAGAGGGTTTAGGGTTTAGGGTTTAGGGTTTAGGGTTTAGGGTTTAGGGTTTAAGGTTTAGGGTTTAAGGCCAGGGTTTAGGCTGGGAACTCAAGAATTGCAACTGAGTAGTATACGATGGAACAGTGTTCAGTTGGGAGGAAATTGAGCATTTGGGAGGCGCTTGTTGGGGACTTCTGCGGTTTAGAGCTTTGCGATTTAGGGCTTGGGGTTAAGGCTGCAGTGTAATGTAAAGGTGTAGCGTCCGTTTCTTGACGCTAAAAAACTTCAGAATCCAGAAATTCAATCCTAGAAGCCTTGTGCCGCAACACATAAATCCCCAAAACTCCAGGTCATAAAGAAAGCAATGCTACAGAGTTATTTGCAGCACATCAAACAGTAAACATAACACCAATGATGATTATCACAATTACCACCTTTACAACGACGACGACGACGACTGCGACTGCGACTCCGGCCACGACGGCTGCTACTGCTGCTGCTGCTCCTGCTACTGCTAGTCATAGTCTCCCTCCCACTGCTATAACGACGACTGTCAAGAAGACAAAGCGAGCCCAATGCCCAGTAATTAAGGGACTATTCCTGAATCAAACGCTCCTGTGCTCTCTAGGCAAGGAAACCCCTAAACCCTAAAAACTATACTACCCTTATAAAACCTCTTTCAAAGGACGAACCCTAAACCCCATACTAGTCGCTACCCTTCTAGACCCTTGAGATCTTTGGCGAAAAAGGAGCCGAAGGCCTGCACTGGTCCGCTCAAGAAGTCGGTGATCGCCGCCACCACGGCAGCAGCGGCGTCACCCTGGCTGGTGTTGTTGGGGCTACGGCTTAGGGTTTGGGTTTCGGGGTTTAGGGTTTGTCGGGGAGGGGTCAGGGGGCTGTGGGAATTTGAGAGGGTTTAGGACTGCGCAAGCCAGCTCTCTGTGCAGGTGACAACGGAAAGCGCGAATACAGCGTAGTAGTGGTGATGCTAGTAATCTTAGGAGTACGAATAATGATGGTAAAACATCAATATGACGGTACGTGGACAGTCATGAAAGATCATGGCTGACAGCGACAGCTATGATGTCAAACCAGTCATCGAAGTTAGTCACGGTCGTCGGAATAACAACGACGACGGCGGCAATGACGATGATTGTCACTACTGCTCTGACCGACGGCTCTTTCTGTCAGCATTGCCGTTCTTCTCCGAGCAAGCCTTGTATTTCAATTTAGGAGGGTCAGGGGTTCAGGCGTTCAGGGTCGACGCTGCTGGTACACCCCTAAACGTACAGATGGGAGTTTAGTGTTTGGCAGGTTGAGGGCTAATCCTAAGCCTGCATGGGTTTTCGGGCACAAGCCAGCCCGACCACGTAGAGCTCCGCCCCATCGCCGGCCACTTGGACGGTTAGATCTCCAAGGAAAGGGTTCGCACACCTGAGACACAAAGATGGAGCTCACAGAATCTCATACGGTGCAGGTATCAGTGTGTGCATATGTGTATAAACAAAATCAAATTGTTGTTATGTATATATATATATATATCGAGAGAGAGAGAGGGGGGATGTGCGCATGTGTACATATATGTGTATAAAAGGATATGTATGGTTATGCATAGGCATGTATGTATATATATATATATATACACACATAAATACAGACAGATATATGAATGTGCCTGTAAATATATGTAAACATGGGGCCGCGCTTGTCACATACGGAAAATACACACATGTATATCTATATATATATATATATGCTTATACACATACGTTATATATTGAAAATATATGATAGGAGGCAGCGGTAACAGATAAACTGTATGTATACTAAGCCTTGACACGGACCTGTACGCGTGCTACATCAATGTCTATCTACATAGATGTGTGAACAGATACGCATGTGTATACATGTATGTATATATATATATGTATGTGTTCCCCCATGTTGTTGCTACAAGGTGGCTTATGCTGCAATCTTGTACACATGTACGTATATTTGTATGTCCACGAAGAACGTGTGTGCTTGTGTACTTGTGCATTCATACATACATACATACATACATACATACAGGCCTTTACAAACATACATACGTACATACATATGCACATATATATATATATACACACACATACATATACGTATACATACACATACACACATACGCATACACGTACACGAACACGTACACATACACGTACGCGTACACATACACATACATATAGACATAGACAGAGACATATACATATGTCATTATATATTTTATATAGACAAGTATAAGCAGCTGAAGAACAACCCAGGAGCAGCCTTGAGTTCCTGAGGGAAGTCTGCAGGCAGGAGCTCCGTAGCGATGCATCCACGGGCGCAATGACTACAAACGACAACAACTGAGATTTAAAAGTTTAGGGTCTAGGGGTTACTATCAAAAACATCCGATTCTTCCTGTTCGGGTTAGCGCGTGTACCAGCACCAGCAATGAAGCAGCAGTAGCAACAGCGGCCGGAGGAGCAAGGAGTTGTGGTAGTGCTCGATGTCGCTGCTGTGGTAGCAGTACAGGGTCGCATTTGCTCTTGTCACTACCCACGTCTGTAGGTCCCACCCCAAGGCCCACCACCACCCCTCCGTAAAGCCTAAACCCTGTACTAAACCCTAATCCGATAAGCCCGCGGCCACATCAAGGGAGCTTCCCGCTCCTCGCTGCCTGCGAGACTCAGAAACCCAAATTTGTTTGGGCTTCGGATCTAGGGTTTGCGGCTCGGGTTTAGTTGGGCTTAGAATTGGGGTCGGATTCGGGGCTCAAGGTGAGGCTTTATGGGAAGCTGGGCTTCGGTCACGGCTCCAAAACCTAAAGCCTGAAATCTAAGTGCCGTAAAGATCGGAACAGGGGTTGTTTTGGAATTTATATGTAATGACGAGAGGGACGAGCAGCGGCTGTTGTTGCCAGTTGTTCGGACCGGAAGCCCCAAACTTTGAAGCCTGCATCACCCTACACCAAGGTGTGTGAGTGCTGTGATAGACAACACTGGTACTGGTATTTGAGAATTTCGACATACCAATTATGGCCGCCTTGACCTCAAACAACACAACAGCACCTGACAGTCCAAGCTGCACATAACGAGGAACCAATCCAGAAGCAATCTTGAACTCTACGAAACCCCTCCATGACGCCAGAATGTGTGCCACACCGTGGCGGGAGCACACTCTTCATACTGTTTGGGGACAGATGCAAGAAGTAATAAGAATAAAGATTGGTAGATTGGGTTAGCAGTAGCAGTAGCAGCAGCAGCAGCAACAACAGCAGCAGCAGCAGCAGCAGCAGTCGCAGTAGCAGTAGCGGTAGCAGTAGCAGTAGGAGCAGTAGTAGTAGTAGTAGTAGTCGTAGTAGTAATAATAATTATAATAATAACAGCCAAAACAAGAACAACAAGTTATCTGATGACAATTACAGCAGTAATGATGATAAATAAACCAACGAACACATACATACATATTGCATCAACTAAAATTAACAACGGTGCTACTTTGCAGTAAAAACAATGGGGATAACAACCATACCAACTAGGAGCAAGTAATGCCAGTTAGTAACTAGTGACAACATTGACTGATTTCAGCAATCATCATGGCGATGTGAAAGCAGATAGTCAAAGTGTTACTCAAAATAATGACAATGGCATACCTTAGACCTCGAATCACCTAAATAATAGGTGACTGGAGCCCTAGGTAAACATCGCGATGATGATGATGATGATGCTGATGATGCTGATGATGCTGACGATGATGTGATAGGGTTCCAATCGGGGGCGCCGCCTGCGATGATCAGTGCCCTGCCCTCGAAGAAGCCGGCGAGACCCCTCTGCGAGCCCTTGGCGCCAGTGTAGGGTTTAGGGTTTAGGGGTTCAGGGGCTTCGGGGTTTTATGCAAGACGTTTGCGGACCATCCAAGCGAGAAGCACGCCGAGATGCTTAACAGGGCGACATACAATGCTAATTACAAACTCAAGCATTGCACCGTTTGCGCACTGCTCTTGTCAACTTTGTTTAACAATTCCAGACCGCAACAGGACTACGCAATGGAACAGGACAATGCAGCACCTAAACAGGCGCACAAATCATAGCCCGAGTGATGGCTGGGTAATCCACACCATGAGAAACTTATGAAACAACTCATGTGGCGATTGCCGGATTTCACAACAACACACGTTGAAGCCACTAGCACGGTACATCCAAAAAAGTTGCAGAGTCTGACGTCGTTCGATCTGAATTTCAAGTTCAAGCCGTTTACATACATCATTAAACGCGTGCAAGAAAACATTAGCTTGTTATCAAGCAGCGGCCTGCACTGGGCCAGAGAAGCGTCATCTGCTTTCCAGTTGAACGCTTGCGGTGCGAGCCCGTCTGTAAGGCAGAAGGCAATTTGCCAGTATTCCATGTGTTTTCATGTTGACTGGGACCAGCCATCGGACACTACAGAATGCAAATAAGGCTCCAAGATGGAAACCCACTCAGACGACTCCACCCCAGTGCCTCGTTTCATCCAAGCCTGAACTACCCACAAGAATCGAGGTCCTAGCAAAGCATCCGCAAAGACTTGCGGCTGGAAACCAAAACTTCCAAACTAAACCGTTTCGCAGAGATGCATTCGAAGACACAGCAAGGTCTGCTGCACAACTAGTTTGTTCAAGACCCTGTGCTTGATCATGTAACCGAGAGGTCCCCCGAACAATACTGTCTTGCAGTGGAAAGACAAGTTGCGCAAGGGGCTTTCGGATTTTAAACATTTGGGATCGAAGGCTCTACCCATAGGCCCCATAGCAGTTCGTTTCGGGGGCTCATATTTAAAATCCTATATGGTAATCCCCGAAAAGAAACTACTATGGGGCCTGTGGGTAGATTTTCTTGGGGATTTTGGGGTCTAAGGTGTTGGGTTCAGGGTGTTGGGGTTTGGGCTTTCGGATTTCGGCTTCAAGGTTCTGGGCTTCCAATTCAGAGCGAGGAAGAGTGGGACTCCAAGGCTGGTGACAGGGTTTAGGGTTTAGGGTTAGG